TTTTTTCGCGCCATGCTGGCCAAGTCTCAAGCTACCACTTGCACCCGGGGAGCCCTTGCCTTTGCTCCCCGAGGAGTTGCGCTTCTCTGACGGCGCGCCAGCAGTCCCACCAGCACTCCCCACGCCTGAAGTCATGCGCTCACGGGAGGACAGGCAGTTGTGGCAGATGCGATGCATCTCGGAGGTGCCCTGAGGGTCCACCACACCACAGGTGCCATGGAGGTACTGCCCGCAGACTCCTCTACATTGGTGATTTGTGAACGCCGGCGGGCCTGGCGTGTGATCGGGGACAGCCGTGCAGCGACTGCCCGCCGCGCAGGGCATGGTGTCTGCAGCTGTGTGGGTGTGTGATGTTTGTTTGTTTGTTTGTTTTTCTCCCATCATTGGACTCTGTCGTCTGCCCCTCTGGCCCCTATCCTCCACTTCTACTAGCTAGACGACCCAACCGGGGTCACATAGGAGGGAGGGGTTGGACCCCCTCCTGCGGTTCATGCCTGAGGTATTTTTATCGCGAGAAGGGTACAGCAGTCCCTTCCCTCGCGACTTACGAAGTCGATTATGGTTTACTAACAACGAGCTTTGCAGCGCGTCGCTTTCATCCTAGACCAGGATTTGTTTAGTGAAAACAAAACTTCTCTCTGCCGGGGCTCGAACCCATGACCTGGCCCTTAGCAGGCTGCGAGGCTACCCACTAGACCACCGGGGCGATATGTGTGTGTGTGTGTCCACGTGGTTTCCATATTGTTCGATTTAAGAGAAAAATCCCAGCTGCAATAGGAAATTTCTCATAAATCGATTTTGATTGGTACAAGCCAATTCCTCTCTCTTAAATCCGTACTTTCTCTTAAATAAGTTCTCTTAAACCGTAGCCGCTACTGTACGTGGGAATCCTCGTGGGAGTGCACTCGGCCGGTAAGCTGGAGTACATATTCCAATAAACTTTGCCATAAGGAGCTGGGCATTCGTGACAGAATAGAACGCCCGTACAACGCGGAGGTGGGTATGGTATTCAACCGGGACGGAGGTCATGGTAAGGGTGGACGGTCCCGTAGTACCAACCTACAGTACACTGCTGTAGGCACACGGCAGCACGGTAGATGGCCGCTTCTTCCCCGCCGTACCATGCACTCCGTGAAAAGCAGAGGATGCAGGTCAAGTCAAACTAGAACTCTACCCCAATCCAAATAACACACAACAGTCTATCGCTTTCAAGCACAGTAGACCGGAAGCTTCTCTGCTGGAGCTACCTGCTGGCCTGCCATTATTCCGCCTTGGGAGCTCGGTGGGGTGAACGAGTCCCCGTAAGTCGTTCTCTGCTGTGCACCGCCCCCGGCAAGGGATCCTCCACCACCGCCGCCGGTCCCATCGGTTGTATCAGCTCCCGAGTACCATTCGTCCTCCATGATTGGGCACACGTGACAATAGCAACAGATCTGATGCGTCGTTGATTGAGCACCTCTTTGCCGTGCAGCGTTCCCGTCGGAGGCAAGCGGCGAGATTAGGGGGACGGCGGAAAATGGGTCTGGTGCGTGGTAGGCATTGACGACATTTGAAACGGTGGTCAGACCACGGAGCCCCACCGGCTGCCCGCGGGATGCTGCTGCTGCGCAGGCGGCACACAGCATCCAGGCTCCGGCTACAGACGGGTGAACCCAGGCTCCGGCTTCTTTCTACGGTGGGATGAGGCGGGTGATTGCACATTGCCATCAATGGAGCGGTTTCCGTTTCGCTCGTTTCTCTTGTGAGCGGCTGTGTTCATCTGGGAGGGGTGCACAATAGCTGCACCGCCTCCTCCACCTGAAGATAGATAGGGCAATCTTGTCCATGCCTGACAATAAGGTATCTGTGGGCGTTTCATAGTCTATGCCGGAAGTGGGGGAGAGCTCTTTGTGCACAGCACCCTACGTCCCGCTCCAACTAATAGGCTAAATAGTGGGGGGACTTTTTCATACATGCCTCTTCCGGAACACATTGACTTCACTCCGCTGCTGTATGTACCAACAAGGGCAAGGGCGGAGATCACCTTTCCCGAAGTCCCCGCCTTCAATGCCGTTGGCGGCGGCCTTGGAGCCGTTGCGACCCATCCGGGGTAAAGAGGGCTGCTTGCGCAATCCATGGATACAGTGACAAACTACTTGTTAGGAAAATTCCGATAACGACCCAGTCGCAGGCGATGGCACTGCAATTTCACTGGTGCGGATTCGTGAAACCAATTCTGCCGCTTATATTAACAAGCCTGAGATCATACATCGCCGATCAGCCGTATAATATGTGGTCTCCTCCCACCCCTTCCTGCCCCGCTTTTCACTCGTAACTGTTAGAGAAGGGGTATGAGGGGGTCATTCCATGTTTTCCTGCCCAGTATTTGTTGCAAGATTTGTTGCAAGATTGTTTGTTTACCGGTGGGAAAGTTGTCAGCGCGGTTGAATGCAGCAAGTTGACATTTTTCGAGGCGTCCGAAATGCTCCCTTGGTGACCTGGTGGTCCATCCGCAACATCCTCTTTGACATCGCAATCGCCGACTCCGCCATGACAAAATAATGTTGCACACGAAAATGAATCTTACGCACCCCAGATGCGCACGGGCGACCATGGCAACGAAAGATGAGTCAGGAGCTCACAAGAATATGTTTCTGTCATGTCTTGTCTCAAACCAGCGCCAAGAATCCTTCCAACACAGCAACAAGAAGTAGCAAAAATCAGTCATAGCAGACGTGTGCGGGGTACCTTGTTTGACTTAGCAAAAGATGACACACCTGATGCCGATCCCACACTCGACAATGAGCATCTGACGGTAAAAAGTTCTAAAATCTTCAGGGATGTCCTCTTAAGCCACCCACTGCTTTCATCGAGTGGGAAGTGAGCTGGTTTTGACGTGCTTCAATCAAGAGGTAGGAAAGTCACTCGCAACGGGCACATCGCATGCCGAAAATACGTTTTGGCGTTGAGTTTTTAGGGGGAAATGGCCGTTATGTGTGTTGTAAGGTACCGTGCATGATGGAAAGAGAGACTACAGTTGTGATGAGCTTGTTTTGAAGCAGATCGAAACCAACTCACTCGCCACTCGATGAAGGTACTGTAGTGGCTATGGAGCACAACCCTGATCGTTTCACTGTCAGATGTTGTTATCAAGTGTGGGATCGATTTACGTGCCATCTGCGGTCGAGTCAAATATGTGGCAAACGTCTCTTTGACTGATTTTCATATGTTGGAAGGATTGGCTACCCTTCGGAACAAACCATGATAGCAACATGAATCGGTGAGCCCCTGACTCATCTTTCGCTACCATGAGCATCCTTGGCGATACGTTGTGCATCTGGGGTGCGAAAACAAAGCTTCACGAGTGCGCCACGTTCATTTTCCTTTGCGGAGTCGGCCGGTTGCGATACAGCAGGAAGCGCACCACGCCACCAGCGGGCGTTTGAAATTTGGAGACCGGTAGCTGTGACCCGAGGTGATCACTTTTCTAACGGCAAACACCCAACCTTACGAGAAATTGGATAGAACAGGAAGACATTTTACGATCCCCACTATCCCTTCTCTGACAGTTGTGAGTACAAAGCGGGGTAAGATATGTGGGCGGACGCCACAACGCCCACGTGTGGATGTGGCCCATATCGGTCATCTGGCTCGTTTTTCAAGTTTTGAGAATTAGTATGACTGAGAAAACAAAGCAGTGGCGTCGCCTTGCGACTGGGGCGTTCTCGGAATTTTTCGGTCCGAATTATTTGCTGTCTATTTCGCGACTGCTGTCACTCACTGCGTTTCCCATGCTTTGTGCCGCAAGGGTATCAGTGAGACTGGTGGATGAGGCGCAACAAATACGGGGCTGGTAGCCGAAAGTATTCGTTGAAACCCCATATGGGTGGCGCGATGACGAAACCGGATTGGACTTGTCGTCAAATCTTGTTGTTCAATAACCGAGAAACATTTTCAAGAAAACAACATTGTCGACAGGATTATTGAGGTTGGGGATTTGACGAGATCCAGAACGCGCCACCGTCAAACAGCTTGTTCACTCTTGTACTCTCTGCTATTCATGGTGCAGATGCATGTCACCACACCCGAAGAGATACTGAGCAGGCATTGGGGGGCTGTTGGTCGATGTTTGTTTGTCACAGGTAGGGGGAAGGAGGCTGGACGAGGCAGTTCCTTTTTCATTTCGGACTGCGAATGACAGCCTATGGGGCGCTGGCCGGGCGCATCAATGTGGTTGCGTGGCGCACTATTGAGATATGCTATTCCTCTGGAGACGAATTGGGCGCATGCCTGCATCACACACTACAGTAGTTCACACATCAAATGACTGCGATCAGCTCCACCGCCTTAAACACGTGCGCTCGCCTGGCGTTTTTGTAATACGCGCGACACAACACTGAGCAACATAGTTAGCGTCAGAGCTTGAGGTGTCACGTGACTGCTGGAAGACGAAATAGATGCCCCCACTCCTTTTTGCCTGTCGCTAAATCGTTCATCGAAGGTGCTGCTGACATCCCAGATACCCTCGGTACCAGGAACACTGAAGATAGGTGCAAGCCAGCTAGTGAATACGGCAGGGCACCGAAGGGGAACCCTCGACAGTCAGCTACAAGAGGTGTAGACGTAAACCAGCACGGATATCAACAACGCAGGGGCTCCTACGCCCACCAAGAAACATGGGAAGGGTCTGCGAACAACCAAACTGCCCCGAACAACCCAGCAACGGCATTGAGGGGAGCCGTAGGCGGCAATTCTGCTCTAGACACGCTATAGAAGGAATGGTCGATATCTGTTCGAAGCATCCTTCGTTCGGTGTCAAACGGAGCGGTAGGCGGCAGTTCTGCGCCAGACACGCTGCGGACGGGATGGTCGATGTCTCCAGCAAAAGGTGTCGCCAGGAAGGCTGTTCGAAGTATCCTTCGTTCGGCGTCAAGGGGAGCGGCAGGCGGCAGGTCTTCGCCAGACATGCTGCAGATGGGATGGTCGATGTCTGCAGCAAGGTGTCCCCAGGAAGGCTGTTCGAAGTATCCTTCGTTCGGCGTCAAGGGGAGTGGCAAGCGGATGTTTTGTTCTCGGCACGCTGAGGATGGGATGATGGATATCGCCAACAAGAGGTGCACCCAGGGACTGCCTGAAGGATGCGAGCTATGGCGTGGACGGCACCGGGAAACGAGAATTCTGCTCCGAACATGCGTTAGAGGGAATGGCTGATATCACCGGGAAGAGATGCGATCGTGGCGAATGCCATAAATCACCGACGCACGGAGTGAAAGGCAGCGGTGTCGTGACGGTTTGCGCCGTACACGTGGAGCAGGGGATTATTCATATCGCAGCAGCAAACGAGAAGTGCGCCCGCCGAGGGTGCTCAAAGCTCGCAATGTTCGGCGTGGAAGGTCGTCGTTGTTGTTGTTGTTGATTTCACATTAAACCGTATGCCAGTTGCTAAATGCCAAAATCTAGCAAAGACTCTC